TTGCTGTTCAGCTGTTGGCACGCCACAGATGGGGTTCAGACTGAGTGTTGTAGAACTGTGAAGCTAGGGAAAGAGATTTTGCTGCTGGGTTACAGGGAAATTGCTGTTCAGGTTGAGACCAGTTGTATCCTGTTACTCTGACTTTGAGAACTCAAATATTAATCTCTGACAATGACCTGTGGCAAGCACTCCTAAAAGAAGCTGTTGGGAAAACTAGCAGTAGGCAGGTATGGAGTAATAGCATGCTGTTGGGGAAATCTTCCAAGCCCTTGGTTTTTAGAGATTGTTTTAAAGGAAAAGGTATGAAGGTTGGGTTGGGAGTTCTTTGACAAATATCCAGGAAGCTTTTTTTTTTTTGTGCAGTGAAGGAGGACGTAGCTCCTTCCTAACTCTCTTTGGATAGAGAGAGAGAATTTTAAGATGAATCTATCTACATTCTTTATTTCCCATGCAGGCAATTCTTTACAACAGCTAGTGGTCTCTCACCAGCCTGCTCCATTATCCACAACAACATCCTATTTTGACAATGGAGTTGTGTTAGTATTAGTTTCATTGTGCTAAATGTCATCACTTGGGAAAAATCTGAAGTCATTACTTACATTGTCAATCTCAGTATGTCTCTACTGAGATGGAAGGGAACAACTTGCACCAGGACTGTCACTTGTAGGCAGATATTGTTCCCCAAATTACATTAGACACCTGTTTTGAAAACTTTCTTTAAAAATTTGGATGCTTATAGAGCCTTGTTCTCTAAATGGTGCTGATTCCCAGCCAAACTATATCCCAGTGTAATTGAGCATACAGTGTAATATATACAGTGCACTCTCTGCAAATGCCTGTTCTTGGGACTGAGAGAATCTGTACACCTACTCTAAGTCTATATGAACAATGCTAATTAATTGTAGGAACAGCCTGCACTAAGTTTTTTTCCAACTCATTAAGGCTTGTTTCTTAGAGCATGTTATGCCTCTGATAGCAGCCTTGAATTTGCCAGTGCCTCATTGCTGTTACCAAATATGTAGTTAAACAGAGTCAAATTATGTTACAGTGAAGACAGTGGGCCAAGAGCTGTGCAGATAACTGATATGTAGATACCTGGAGCTTGTTGATATATAAGCAATAAAAAAAACATTGGGACCAGTGTTTTGTTACGCAATTAGGTGAACTATGCACTTATCCAGTATGCTTATAAGTCAGGAGTGGAGGAAAAATACAGCCCATGGGCTAGATCCAGTAGTACAGATGGACACAAATGTAGAACTGAATGCTTGCGAGTGCATTTGTAGCATCTCATGTCATTTTAACTGCAGGCATCAGTGGCTAGTACAATGATTTTGAAGTTTTTATTTCCTGTTTGTGGTATGAGGCAGTATAAGTGCTGTGGTGCCTCAGATTCCACTTTTGGTATCTGTTGCTTATGACAGGTGCTAATAACAGCAACTGCTTTCTACATACTTGGCAGTTTTCAATCACCTAAGCCCTTGAGCATGGAAACATTAACAAATGCAACACCTGTGGGACAGGGTCAGTATCCACATTTTGCTGGTGGCTCAAAAAGACACTGATGAAGTTAGGAATGGACCATGAAGATGTGAGCCCCTGTCAAGTATTGTAACCAGAAAAGTCTCTCCCTCACTCTATTGGTGTACAGTAAAATTCTGGTACAGCTTTTTTCTTGGTATGTGCCCTTGCAAATGTCCTGAAGGGCTGAAATAGGTAGAAGTAGAATTGAATTAGAGCCTGCATGTAACTAGCATCTAAAAAGAGCCAGAAGTAACTCTTCCCCCCTCCCTCCACCCCCAACTCTCATTTCAGCTGCCAGGTACTGCAGCATGTTAATTGAAGAAGGAGGATTGCAGCACTTGTACAACATCAAGGAAAACATTCAGACTGATCCAGATGTCCAGCGAATTGCCATTGCCATTTTAGATAGTTTAGAAAAACATATTATGCGTCATGGAAGGCCACCCCCATGTAGAAAGCAGCAGCAAGCCAAACCAAACTGAAGGCTGCTGGTGTTGGTGTGTAAACTATCCTCTCTGTAATAATCCTTTGACGTGTGTGTAGTTGGAGTAACTTGTACTATAGTGGTCACCATTAAAGTTGTTTGCCAGCAGTTGTGGTACTCAATACCACATGTGGTAACCATTGGTGAATGTCAACTTTAATGGCAACTGCAGTATGCAACATGTAAGAGGACCTAGGATCACTGCTTGAGCTGGTCATGCCTATAGGATTTTTGCAGGCTACAAAGAGGTGGAACATGTACAGGTTGGAATGTACATCAGCACCAGACATCGAGGAATATCTTGTCGTGTGACTTGACTTCTGGGACAGATGGTCACTTCATCTCTGCGACTGCTGTTTATAGAACCGTTTACCAATATGGTGTTTGAATAGAACTGTTTGTGATTGTGGCATTCAACACTCTTGCAGCTTAATACAAAAATTCATGCATGCACACATTAAAATGATGCTTGTAACTAAGGCGACCAGAATGTCCTGCTAAGCTCTATTCAGTCCTAACAGTCTTCAAAACTCCTTTTCCTGTTGCCAACAAGCTGTGCTCTTTGTGTCTCTAGAAGCAGACTGTTGTTTCTTGCAGCTGTTGGCCTCCCCTGACTCCTCCAGGCTGCGTCAACAAATTTAGGATCAGCACTATCCCCCTCTTTGGGAGGGGGGCGGGGGGAAGAGGAGAAGTGGAACTAACTGCTGGAGCGGAGCAACGGAAGTAAGCAGGAAAGGGAAGAGATGGGAAATGTGAAGCAGATACGCTGAGTTTTTACATTTTGAAATCAAGGAAGTCTTCTTTGT